CGAACGTTACAGAAAATAAAATTGCTGACTGGAATTTAAGAAATATTTCTACTGAAGATCGATAGCTCGAAGTTATCCAAACAGAAAATGTATTGGAAAATGTAAAAATTTCTTGCGAGTTTGTTTTTTGTCTGCCTGGGACCAGTGCGTGAGAGGTGATCCTCAAATATTAATAACCATTGGAGTTCTGAAGAATCGCTGTTGAAGATATCTACTCTGGAAGCCACTATGCAAGTCTACACAAAATTTAATGATACTTGCATTTTCTGAAGGGAAAAGGCAATTCTTAGTTCCCAAAATTACGACTGGAAAGGAAAATTAACTTTTAAAGATTTACGTATATATTTTTAAAAAAATCTTTTGTTATATTGCTGCTGCATCTGTATTATAATAAAACATAAATACCTTTAATTTGTTTGATGAAAAATGTGTTGGAATTAGACCAAACATTGTTCTATCAGATCTTTAGTCTCTGTTGTTCTCTCCAAAATATTGCATTACTCAAGGAATAATCAAATTTAATCGATAATATAATATAATAATAACATCAACTTGTATTATAATTGTATTATTAGACCACAGTAAAAAAAGATCACATAATATAGTCGTACTGTTTCGCTCTGATAACGGTTGTTTGACATCATTCTGGGACACAATCGTATAACCTGCATTAGTTAACAGGAAAGTCAAAATTTTTTTGATATAATGTTGATAAGATGTTTGACGAGGCCGAAACACTTTGTAATTTCTATTTTTACTATTTTATTGGGGACGCAGATCCCTATATTTGGCGTGTATAACATGGCACAATACATTTTTTCCTAAACTTTCGGTATAAGAACAGTAGTGTCTCTAGTAATATTATATTTGTATAAAATCCTTCGACTTCAGATTTTCTTAGAACACGTATTGAAAAAGAACAGTACTCTCTCTGGTAATATTATATTTGTATAAAATCCTTCGACTTCAGATTTTCTTAGAACACGTATTGAAATTATTATAACATCAGCTGCCTTCTTTTGATTGATTTTCTCTATTATAATTCCGCAGTTCACTGAACATTTTACAAAATCATCAAGAATCCAAGATCCCTCTCGCTACCAGAAATCTTAGCATATCAAGATGTTAACTGCAAACGTACGAAAAGTGTGATATGTTTTCTTCTAATTTCAAAACACCGAGGATGGGTAAACGTGCATCCGTCTGATTCGTTCTGGTACACAACCGTAACATTACATAATGTTAAAGGAGTGTGCTAGTTAACTATATTTTAATTTATATGGTGGAGAAAGTACTGTTTAATTGTGTAGCATAACTATGTCAGTGTTCTTTAGATGTGCTTTCGATTTGAACGGAGTGCATATCGAAATTCTTTTAAGAACGTTGTGTTTCTCATTAACACTTTCATCTATCGCATTCATAGAATGAATTGTTTTTATCTCCTTATGAAACATTAAATAATTGAGGCGAGTATATTGACTTGTAGGCTACAAAGTGAAATTTTGTGTCTTGAATAATATACGGTGGAATGATGTGTTCCATTTTTTGCAATCAAGTTATACAGGGTGCCCAGCAATACCAGGCAGACTAAAAATGGATCGACGGAAATAGAAAACATGGTGTGAAGTATTACGTTTAGCACAAATTGGACACTCTGAGAAAAAAACAGTTACGAGCATGTATAATAGAGAAATTAAACGGATCAAGTCAGTCTAACAGGCCCAAAGAATTAGTCCATATACATTCTTTCCCTGCCCAACGCGTAGTTACCGTCCATCTCGCAACGTTGCCCCTTCCTGTATAGCCACCGCCGCAGTACAAGCAGACCGTTACGCCGGGCGCTGAGCCCAGATTAGCAGAAGGACAAGCGTAGTTAAAACATTTCTGTATCATGTCTTTAAAGGCAAATGTATGGGGCAACATATATGATGTATGAAATATGGCTAGTAGGTGTACTGAATTACCGGAGTGCGATGGAATCGGCCTCTGAAGAAATTATGCTAAGAAGTAATACTCGGTTAAAATGGAAGAATGTCATCCATAACCTATTTCTGTTTTGACAATTAAATCGTATCTGTTGAAATAGTGTGTCTGAAAGTCCTAATGACTCTGGTATCAGATACCACTTTGTGCTGTCTTATTTCTATAGAGTGTATTAAAATGCCAAGTATGCTTGAATACTTTTTATTCGCAAAAACTCAATGCGACGGTCCACATATGCATATAAATTCAGAAGTATGAAAAGATTCTGTCACTAAGAACTTCACGTCTTTATCAGTTTACTGCGGCAGCAGCTCCTTTCATAAGTATTTGAAAAACGTTATTAAGAAATGGAAAAGCCAGTAAAAATCATATATAATGGTGTCCAATTTAAAATCGAAACAGGGCCGGCTTCAGAGTTTTGTGCGACCTGAAGTCTGGGTCATGATAATTTGCCTTAATAATAACCGAAGAGTGACGAAAGTGTGCTCAGCTACATCAATACCTCAGAGCCTTAATGATAACTGGTTGGTTAGTTGGCCTCGACGCCCCGTTTGGATCCTCCCTTGATTGACAATCTTACGCCCGTTATGACCCTGCGCCCTGAGGCGGCTTGCATATCGTCTGTGGCCGGCCCTGAATCGAAAAGTACTTCAATGAGTTAGTTCAATCATGTTATGATACCATATCATTAATTATACATTTATGTATGTACACTTAATTATGAAAACACTATACAATACTACGTGTCGGTTTACGCTTACACGAGCATTATCCATTGAAAAGCATTTGTATTGTTAAACAAAGATAAACAGAAAAGAAAAATGACTCCTAAGGTATGCTCAATAACATATGACGTTATATTCTACATAATCATGTGAAGACTTAAGAGACTCGGCACAATCGAAAGACCTTCAATGACCTCACTTTGTGTGTAAATTTTAAGAAGTGTATATAATTATGTACAGCGTTCCCATTTGTAGTCTTTGTTTCTAATCTTACCAGCTTTTACTAATGCAAATAGGTTTGGATAATACTTGTGGTATGTTTCGGTTAAATTAAGGCTATTTTCAAAACATCTGAAAATACCGGAGTGATGGTAATGTCAGATTCAGTACCAAAAACGCCGTTTTTACTGTTTAAAGTCTAATTTATGTGATGAAATTTCTATTTTTTTCATAATCAAGTAAGAGCGGGCAACATCTAAATACTGGTCAAGATATGTAGAAGCGGAAAAGTGTTGTAACTCGCTCTACAAACTTGATATCCAGAGAACGATGAAATGATCATATTGGGAAATGTTAGATTTATGGACATGCCATGCACAAGCTTAGCAAGTTCATGTAGTAAAGGAGACCTCAAAGGAATAAATTCCGTCGTATATCGCAAGATAAGTACAAAGTTACAAATCACTCTTCAATGAGAAAACAGCTTGAGGTTGTGCGTTAAAGAAGAGTCACCGACTTTTCGGACTTAGCTCCCCTTCGTCAGGCATAAACAACCTTAACAAGGCTTTGTATACATAATGGGGCTAGTTGGTTGGAAAGTACTTCCTTCCAAAGTAGTGCCACCTGTGAGCCATGAATTGGATGTATCGTGTTCGATGAGTTATTGGAGCAAAACAACGTTGAGATCAAAAATCATAACTGCGGAATATACTGGTTGATACTTTGGTTCGCAGAGGAAAAACCCTCGAATACAACGTTTATAAAAGTGGAAAGTACGCCTAATCATAGACCGTAGAATTTGGATGTCCTGACTTAAATTGTAGGTGTTATATACGTGTAATTAAAAAGCTGCAAAATATAGTTTTTTGTAGGTCTACATCCATAAAACAACAATTTATTATGATGGAAAAACATGTCCACATACGCCTATTCAGGCCCCTATAATTATATCCAACACAATCTGACTGAACTATAAATGTAATCCTAGCTAAATGATCGTCCTTTGTCATTAATATTGCCCGAAAATAAACATATCCTTCCTGTTCGGTCACGAAACATTTCAATGCGATGATGGTCAAATTTGAATAATCAATAATTATATGTCGATGATCATGTGGGATTTGCTATTGTTGATTAAGATAATAACTTACACCTCGATATAAGACCTTTTGCGTGACAGAAAACATCTATATTTTTCTCTTCTCATGCTTCTTCGATAGATGCTCATTTGTGTGACACACTTTGTACAGCGTACAACATCGAATCAACACCAGTATCCGTGAACATCAGGAATGTTTGCTTATTGTTGCCAAAGATCACATTGAATGTAATATAATACTAATGACATTACTGGTTGCCAAAATTTAGAAAAAAATTAGGAAACACGCAACTTCTGTATGCTTACCTGATACAGCTTCCATCATGTTGAAAACTGACCACCCTGTATACGATTGCATCTGCAACAGCGAGTATGTTTAGTAAACAACAACTTGAGATATATGAAAAATGGTTGCCGACGGGATTCGAACCCGCATCTCCGCAACCCGACTTAATTAGTCTATATCACCAGCTGCCAATCAACCTTCAGGATCGACTTCTAGAGCCAAATCAATCCTACCGACGCCATTGTTCCTTTGTTATTTCAAAGTACTTGGTGCCCCATCTAACCGCGATCTAGTGTATCAAACCGGATTGAAAAAAACGCATACATATCGTGGTATGTGCCCACGAGACTGCGTGGTGCAACTAGAAAATGATTGAAGATACCTTACGAATTCCGTTTGTTTCACTTGAACGCCGCCAGAGAGGGCATCAAGCAGCTTAACAGGACAAAGGAATAGTGACGTGGGTTGGATTGATTTTGCCTCTAACAGTCGATCCTGAAAGTTGGTCGGCAGCTGGTGCTGTAGACTAAGTGGTTAGGTCGGCTTCACGGGATAGAGGAGATGCGGGTTCGAATCCCGCCGGCGCTCGTTTTCTCGATCTCTCAAGTCGTTGTTTGCATATACAGAATTTATGGTTCGCTCTTTAAATGAATTCTGATAATTGTTCTTTTTTTCCAGGTAAATCCAGCAGCGATTATGCCAGATTTGTAGTGGTATCTCTCATGACAGACTGTTTTCTTTTTTTATCGACGTGAGTATGACACGCTTGCTATTAGTAATTAAGCATGCGGTTGAGATTTAGCAGAATATTAATAATTATTAGTCGCCCTAAAAGGAAGTAGACAAGGAGTCGATACGAAAGGAGTTTACGCACCTTCAATTGATCCGCAAAATCGACCAATCAGAAAGGGTTGTTGAAGTAATGGATCTAACGAGTCGATTTATTTTCTCAGACGATCGAAAAATCATACGATTTGTGTAAAAAGGTCCTCTAATTCCCATATTAAACCAAGAAATTCCTTATAAATCGCCTGATGTCGCTACAAAAACCTATTTGTTTAATTTGATCTGCGAATCAAATTTGACCAATCAAGGCTTTTTTGAAGTAATGAATTAATGAATATAATCGGTTTCTTCCCTCAAACCAGCTACAAATTATACGATTTGTGTAAGGAGGATCTCTCATCCCCATATTGAATCTACAAATTCTTTCTAAACCAGCTGGTTTAGCTACAAAAACATTTTTTTTCATTTGATCCTGGTAACACGTGACCCGCGAATCGAAATCCAGCAAGTTTTTGAAGTAATATTTTACGATTTGTGTCAGATCTCTATATCAAGTGAGGTATTTTTTTTAGAATTCACCTGATTTATACAGGGTGTCCGCAAAGTTGGGGTTTTCCTTTACACGACGTGTAGATCTTGAAAACAAGCAATTTTTCTTAGTACCATATACACCAATGTCTTAAGGGAACCGAGATCAGTGTGTCAGGTCAGTATGCAACCTTCAACCGACGGTTACGGTCACGCGTGTAGAGATAAACGAACCCGTATAATCGATTGCGTTTCAAAAAACAACAAGCACTAGAGACGTGGCTAGAGAAGTGCAAGTATCAAAAACTAAAGTGTGGCAAACGCTGCGTGAAGAGCGGCTGTATCCGTTTCACGTCCAACGTGTACAAGTCCTTCAACCTGACGATTTTCCAGCAAGAGTGCGGTTTTGTGAGTGGTTGCTGCATCAACATGACAATAATCCGGACTTTTTGAAGTGCATATTGGTGACAGACGAATCTACGTTCACGCGTAATGGGGTGAATAACTTTCGCAACACTCATGTTTGGTCAGTAGAAAATCCGCACGCTGTCCGTCGGGCACATTTTCGGTGAATGTTTGGGCTGGCATGGTGAACGGTATGCTCATTGGACGATTTATTCTCCCAAATCGTTTGGACGGGATGCAATACCTAGACTTTTTACGCAACAGTTTGCCTTCCTTGTTAGAAGATGTGCCATTAAGTGTAAGACAATCAATGTGGTTTCTGTACGATGGTGATAGTTGTTACCTCTGTTCGTGGTCTACTGGTTTTGCACCACCGCCGGCGTCTGCTCGGTAGCGCATCAGCTGATTTCATTTTCTGTTGGAGCGGTATGATTTCGGGCAGAGACGTACTTAGCCCTTCTCGTCAACTGAAGAGTGAGTACTTTTTCCTTTATTTTTTTTTACTTGGTCGCCCTCGTTTCACTACACATTACCTTTGTAATTTCAAGGGTAGTTGTTTCTGAAAAGGAAAACCCCAACTTTGCGGACACCCTGTATACAAAAACCGATTTTCTCATTTGATTGAACAGGGGTCTTGCATGAAAATCAATCAGTTACATTTTCCATGCAAGTTTGTCTGCAACTCTAGTGGAATATTTAGTTACAGGGTTCCCAACCTTATTTTTTTTTGTTGAGGCTCCCCGGACTATAAATTATATTTCATGTCCCCTTTACTTTTTCAATAAATGCTAAAAAAACGTACATTATATAGGTACCAAGACTTTTATTTTAATTCTAATAAAGAAACTTTAAAAGTTTAAATAAACTCTTAAATGTTTTATGATGTATCGAAAAACTTGAATAAAATATGAGTAGGGACTAATGAGACACTTGAGATTGCATGTTCTGTACCAGTTGGTTGATTCTAGGTTCTGTTTTTGCCAGAGCTATAATCAGGTCGCTATCGAAATCAAGATGATTTCGCGGTTTAGTTTTAATTAAAACTGGACCAGAAATGCCTGTCTCACATGAGTAAGTTGAAGAAAAAGGAACTAGTATTCGTAAAGCAAGAGAGGCAAGTGTCGAAAAAACATGGCAATTTTTTGAACCAAAATTTCTCCAATGTTAAAGGATGAACGTCATTTTTCATGGGCGAATCAGCCATCATTTCTAGAAATTCTGATCTTCTTCTGGTACTTGTAACACATCGACAACAAATGGATTTCTTGTCATGTGCCATATTGGTGACTCTGAATTGATGTCTGGATAGTATCGGCGAAATTCGTCTTTCAGCGCTTGCAAATGAGTTTTTATGACAGCTTTTAAATTTGCGTCCAGTATGTTATTTTTAATTGCTTTGAACAGCCGAGAAAAAGATATAACATTTTCAGAAGGCACTTTTTGATTCATAAGTTGAAGCTTTGATATATAAACCCCTGAATATAATCATAATTGCTTATTACTATATAGTGTTGTTTCTGCCCTGAAGTTTCAAGTTTAGCTCATTCAAGGAGTAAAATGTCAGTTAAATAAGCAAACCTCCATTGAAATGTGTCATCTTTGAACATTGTCAAGAAATCGTGTTTTTCTTTGAACTCAAGAAAAAGAATTACCTTTCTTTCAATTCATAAAGGCGAGCCAACATGTTGCCTTTGGACAGCCAGCATAATTCTGTAAGGAACAGAAGAACTTTGTGATCAGAATCGAGATCCTCGCAAAGTAAAGTAAATAACCGATTGTTCTAAGCACTGCTTTTGATGTAGTTTGCAATCCTTAGAGCCGAGTCCAAAGTCTAGCGTAATTTCTGTGGCAATGTTTTGGAAGCCAAAGCTTGCCGATGAATAATAGAATTTGTATTAACCACTGCGGGATTTTTTTTCTTGAACTTCTTTGCTAAGCCCGATCGTACACCTATCATTGCAGGTGCGCCATCTGTGCAAAGTCCAATGAGTTTCTTCCAATCCAAATCATTTTTTTGATATTGAATTAAATATATCTTCAGATGTTATACCTGCTGTCAAAGATTGGGAGTGCAAATTTCTTCTTGAATGATATCTCCGCCGATGCAACGAACATAAACTATTAACTGTGCACAATTAGTGATGTCGGTGGTTTCATCGCAACTAATGGCAAAAATGGCGATAATTTTACTTTGTTAATTATTTGTGACTTTATGTGTGCTGCAATGTCATCGATTCTACGCTTGACTGTGTTATTCGAAATAGAAATAGACTTCATTTTTTGCTCTGCATCTTCTCCTGAAATTATCTGCGTGGCTTTTAGGACACATGGTTTTATTAATTCTTCACCGATAGCATGAGTTTTCTTTTGCTTTGCTATCATAAAATCTATTTCAAATGAAGCTTTGAGATGCTGCGATACACCTGTGTGATAACTTCCCGATTTATCCAGTCTCATCCGCTTGAGTGATTCTGCTTTAGAAGAAAAAAACTCTTTCGTCTTCAAAACCAGAGTAGGATGTTGATGCATCGAATGCCTTTCAAAGCCTCATACTATCATTACTTAAAACTTTTATACATATCACACACTGAGGCAAGTGTAACTCGTCTTTTTCTATGAAGGTAAATCCAAACGTAATCTTCGGAAAACTTTCTTTTTTTCGCCGCCATTTTGCACCTATAACAATAAAACAAATAAGTAATAAATAAATAAGCAAAATACCTACATGTAATTACTAATTATATGCTCATTATTTTATCTTAATAACGTAATGTATTCAACAGTATATTGGCCACCGGGAGATTTATATTTTTGTAGGCATGTTGACGTTATAATAGTAATTTTAAATACATTCGGAAGCAACATTAGGTACTTAAAGTTCGTCGTTTCAAAATTGTTTCGCCACGTTGGTTTGATTGTGATGTGGTAAGAAAGTCCCAATCGCCGATCTGTGAACGCGTCTCCACTCAAGCAACAATTTAGTAAATTAAATAAAAATGGTAACTGAAGTTTGTAAATACACAAACTTTTTAACAGTGAGACACAATAATTTGACACACTCAAATAGGTTTCTCGACAAAACATGTACATCATCGAAACATCATATTTTTCGCAGGTTTGTGGGTATGAATGTCACAGATGCTCATCCGCGTATGGTAGGTACACAATTGTTTTCTAAGAGATGAATGTTAAGCGGTGCGCGCGGATTTCATATTGTGACTTGTCGAAACTTGTATACACTGCGATTGACGACGCCGGGTTTTGAAACAGCGGTTGACAGAATAAGTGAATATGATATTTGATTTCTGATTTTATGCGTGTAAATTAAACATTACATTGTAATGTTATTTGTTAATGTTGTTTGTTTATTTTTTTGTTTTTTCTTTCTGAAATGCAAACGCTTTCCGCCCCCCTTAGCATCTCTCTATGCCCCCATTGGGAGGCGCGCCCCCCTGGTTGGGAACTCCTGATTGGTAACTAACCAGTTACCAATGCATGCAAATGTCCCTACGCCGGTCGGGTGGTTTTTATGGTTATACTTAATTGTTGCGTTTGATCGTGTTTTGATGTTGGATGTTCGGCGATTGAAACTAGTTTTTGGATATTAAAACCTAGTGTTTTGAAGAGTAAGAAAACTAAAATTGTAATTAAGGAATTTGATAGAGAATATTTCATTTGTTTAGGTTGGCTAACCTTGCTTGTTTGAATCGAGGAAGCGGCCGCCTTGCAAGTGATGTAAAGCAATTGTCTTGCAGAAAGAACGTCTGGCAACTGAAAGTGTTTGCATGCAATCAATTTTTTTGCTAGCTATAAAACGGTTCTTAGAATGGAAACGTATCCTAATAAAAACGTACCTCCAAACAACTTGTGTCATACCGCTATTGACTATACTGAGTACTTGACTACATTTTGAATCTGTAAATGCATCATAAGTGTTCTCACGCTGTAGGAGTGGACACAGAAAAAGTGAGATCATTGCCCTAAAAAACGACACTCGACTCGACACCGAACAACAGCCAATCAACAACAATC